ATTACTTAATACTTTCAAAATATAGTTTAGTTACACTTTCATTTGAAAATTTGGATTTTTCTCAGTTGATTCGACTCTAGTAAGCCTAAGTCAAAAAACAAATAATAAGAACAAGTCTTCTTAAATTTTTGAAAACTCTATATAAATCAATCATAATTCAACTATAACAAAACAATTAGAAATTTTATTTAACAACATTTTAACTGTGACAAACAAACCATTGATTGATGTTAACCAACTCTTCCAGAACTTTGGGTAATCAAGATCGTTGACACAATAAAAAACTAAAAGATTTTCCTCTACAACCAACACAAAACAAGCTTCCTATCAATTTTCTGATAACCGAAATATTAAGAAAATAACACTAGAATATTTTTAATTCCTTCATATATATATTCATTTTTTGAGCGAGTCTTTCTTTAAAAATTTGAATTAAAAATCAATGAGTTAACTCACTTTTACCACATCCATCCAAACAAACAAAGATTTTGTTATCAACCAAAATTTTAAAAACCAAAAAGACAAACTGTGTAATTTGTTTGGTAGATACAAATATTGTTTTTCAAATAGTTGATTCTATAAAAGTTGATTCTATATAAAATTAGGTTGAATGTAAAATGGATTTATTGTATTTTTGTTACATTCATATAATCGTGAATTCATCAATAAATCAAAAGTAATAATCAAATTATAGTTTTGATTTAATACCAATGGATCTAAAAGTCAAAATCAATTCTTCTCTTCCAAAAATCAATTCAACATCGTGCAAAATAAAGAAAGTATAATAAGCTAAGCATTTCACATCTTGCTCCTAAACAAGCTTATAAGAAAGACAATGCATCTTTGAGAGAAACTAACTTTCATTGAAACCAAAACTGCATAATAAAAAGCTGTAGCTGAAGAATTAACTTTTGCATTGAAAGCAACTTAATGTATGTATCTGAAATCCAGATCCAAGATCTGAATGCATTATTCTATGGTAGTCCCATGGACATTATTCAAAAACACTCACTTCACTCATAAAAATAAATTATTATTATTATTATTATGTACGCATATAACGCACAGAAATCCGCTCCTTGATGGGGCTCCTACATGAAGGACAATCTTGCATACCTTGTTTTTCATGGAGATCATTGCATTTTGTGCAAACAACTTGATGAGCACATGGAAGGAATACAACAGACATCTCCTCCGAAAGGCACATCACGCACTCTCTTTCCCGTTTCACACCTCCTCCTGTCATAGAGAAGCTATTTAACTTTTGAACCAGTTCTGAAATAGATGCGTTCTGGGGTTCTTCAAGAGACGAACCCTTTTTCATGTCCTTCCAGCTACCGGCATAGCTTCCATCGATTCCTCTTTTAAGAGCAGCAATTTTTGAAGAGTCGGATTTCTGCCTTATTTGTGCAACTTCTTTTTCAAGTTTTTGGATGTCATCTTGGTATCTTCGCAGTTCCGTCTCTGCTTCCGATTTGATCATCTCCTCCTTGGCTCTGCCTGACTCCTCAATTTGTTCTCTTTCTTTTCTTAAAGAACTGGCCAGTGAGAGAAGTTCTTCTGTTTTCTTTGCCGCCTGCCGCCGTTTAGCCTGTGATATTTTTCCTTTACAATGAGAACAGACCCAGTAACAAAAACTCATTAAGTACTCACAGACGGGACGTGTTTGCATCTGTGGAATTTCACAAGTGATGCGTGTGTACCAAGTGATTCATTTAACATAATGATATTACCCACTCATTCAACATGGAAATGATATTGACTATTAAGGCATGCATTTGAATCACTTGTACATGTCAGAGCGTCTATCGATCCAAATTTATTTAATTTAATTAAGAGCGCAAAATAAGAGGGGAAAATAACAAACACAACTTGAGTAATATGTTGGTATTAATACCTGATGAAGAAAAAAAGAATGGCAAAGCAGTCGGAATAAAACAGGAAATAGAAAATAGAAGCCAAAAAAAAAAAAAAACAGATAACGGATTCAGGAGTAAATGTTGGCATTAATATCTGATAAAGATGAAACGCGTGGCAATACAGTTGGAATAAACATGCTATGATATTACCTCGAATTGCTCCGCTTGTGCTTCGACTTGCTTTGATTCCGCCAATATCTGTGCCAATTTGTTTTTTTCAGTCATTAGCTCTTCCTGTATCAACGATTTCTGATTCTCCCATGATTGAAACTTCATTTGGGTCTTCTTTTCCCTCTTAGAAACATCTTGAAAGTTTGTAGCTGATTCAGCCGCATGTAACTTAGCAATCTCCATCTCTTTCCTCAATGCAGCATTCTCCATCTCGAGCTTCCGTACTGCAGTATTAGCTCGGTCCACTTGTCCACCTGCTTTACCCAAGGCATTTTCCATCTCAAAAAGCTTTTTCATGGTGTTTTCTTCTAGACACTGTTTCTCCTTTTTAAGTCGTTCAACTTCGTCTTTCTCTTGCCTAAGTGCCTTAAGCTCGGCCTTCTCCTTACTCAACCGACGAGCAGCCTGCATCACCTTTTGATTTGCCCATTCTGTCCATTCTTGAAGCTCATTTTGTAGCTCACGAACCCTCGGAACCATCTTCAAAATCAGCTCATCCTTTCTATCTTGGGGCAACCATTGTCCCATGGACTTGTCATAAGGTATCCCAACACAACTGCCACCATGTAACTTGTGATTGCAGCAGATAGGAGTCTTAGAAGAACTGCTTTTTGAAGACAGTGAAAGAGAAAGATCAGTATTTGTAGCTGATAATGCATCTGGAGAGCTACTGACTGCAGGCTTAGCATTTGCTTCATGTTCTGAAGATGAAGGATCGGCTGCACGAGAAACAGTATCACTAGAGTCCAGACTAAATGAAGTATGGGTAGATTGTCCATCGTTAGATGAGCGAGAAGTGTTAAGATTGTCTTTAGTGACATCAACTCCCACTGCCTTGCTTATGTTTATGGGTGCACTCTTTAAATTTATGGTAGTAGATTCTGATACAGATTTAAGTTTTTTATCCAAGATTAAACCACTCAAGCCACTCAGCTTTCCTCCTCTTGAAGACCCTTTAGACCCGTATGTCCGATAACTTTTTTCCACATGGATAGACTTCTGACGAAATATGTAGTCCCTCTTGGTGCTACTAGGGTGGACCTTTCTAATAATCCCACCCTTATCTTGTAGCAGGTGAGATTGAGAGGTTGCAAAAGCACTAGATGACTTGTCAACAGGATGAAATCCAGAATTAGCACCATGTTTCTCCAAGAGTCCACCGGGAACTTGAGAGTTTTCCACCACAAAGGATTTCCCAGATTGGGAACCCAGGGGAATTGTATTACAAGGACTTGGAAGACTCAATCCTGGACCTTTGGTTTCTACTTTCGATTGAGATTCAGTCTGGACAGAAGAACAGCCATCACCAATGCCATCACTGTACAAACCACTTAGAGGGTCGCCATCCATTGCACAAGCATAGGACACGTTCATGTCACAAATTAACAAACACCACATTGCATCACCAACACTGAAAAATGGCCTAACCTCTCGAAGAACACAAACCAATTCAGCCAAGATATACTTCTGAAGCTGCATTAAATCTTCAAAATAGTGCTCTCGTGAAGGATCAAACTCTTGGCCGTTTCTTAGAAAATTCAATGTGTTATCAACTATATTAGATACTGTATCTTTGCATCCATAACAGATGCCAGGCCTTAACATAGCCTTAGTAGCAACATCTTCAGTGTAGCCACAAGCAACAATTTTTTTTATTGCACTCTTGAAAATGGTATGCAAATTGCTCAGGAGAAGTTCTTCCAACTGAGTTTCTGTGTGATCACTCCAATCAACCCCATGGGATTCAACCGCCTCTAGATCATCCTTATGAAGGCTATGCCTAACCTCGGATGAAATTGCAGGGCTAGATAATCCAAGGTCAAGCTTCAAGCCATCAGAACAATCTTGGCTACCACTGCACAAGTCAGCCGCTGTGACTTGCCCAAAACATGGGGTCATTTCAACTTTTTCAGCAGAGAATTCATAACTGAGGCCCTCATGCTGAAGTGAAGGTATAACCTTATTTGGATCTCCTAAAGGTGGATCAGCCCTGAATTTTCTCTTATTCCTACTTCCTTTTTCTTGAACAGAAACTGAAGAAGACACTTGACTGCTCCCACTGGCAACCAATGATGCCATTTGCTGCAAACCAAAAGAAGTTAATAGTCGCTATAATATTTCTCATCTAGATTACAAAAACAAGTTGAATAGTTTCAGGCCTTATTTACATAGCATGAAAGAAGCCAACATATTTGCTTGCTGTTTACAATGTAGTTTTAATCCTTACAATTTCTGCTTTCTAAAATTTGCTTTACATAGTTGTCTAATAATGATGGAATAACATTTGCAGAGATAAAACTTAGCCAATAACGTAAGGAAGTACCAGATAATTATCATGTGAGAACACATAAGAAAGTGCTAATGATTTGTGCATCGTACACACTAGTAAATAAGAAAAGTAATAACTAATGAACATATTACTTTTCTTATTTACTAGTGTATGCAATGCACGAATCAATTACATATGAGATATAAATCCAAACTTGTATTGCTATTAAACAACTCAACAAGATTCATGACTTCAACCAGCATCCATTTACAAACAATACAAATTAAGATTTATATCTCTCATGTAAATTGATCAGTGCATCACACGGTATACACACTAGTAAATAAGAAAAGTAATAACTTACAAATAACACATCAAGATTTATAACATTAACCAACATCCATTTACAAGCATACAAAATTCACCAATTCCAAAACCAAGTACTATCAAAACACAATGATAAAATCAAAATCAAAATCAAAATCAGTGACCTAAATTCACAACAAATTTCATAGCATATCAATCAACAAAAAGAGAGCAAAGAAGAAAAAAAAGATTAACTATGAGCAAGAACTAACACTTGATTATAACATAATGCATTGTATATGAATATGAATCAAACTAGTAAACCTTTCTTACCGCTAAATCTCAGTATCACAATCAACAACGACCAACTTCCTGAAAGATTAAGCACAAGAAAAAAAAAGATCAACAACACTGCCCAAAAACATGCACCAGTAATCTTAATCTTAATCTTAATCTCAATATCAAAAACAAAACCAGTTGAAAAAAAATCCAAAATCGAAACCACTGAAACGAATTCAGCACCATAAGAAAACTGAAACTCAATCCAGATCAGAAAATCGATCTAAACAATTCACCGTCAACAAATTATAATCCAAGAAGATCCCCAATACAAGTGAATGAAAAATTCAGTATTGGAATTGATCGATACGTACCGGATTGAAGAAAATTGAGCAAGAATCAAAGATAAGATCGATCTTTGAAGAAGGGAGAATTCATAAAGAAAATGAATAGTTTTTTTAGGTTTTTTTGTTCTTCTTTATTTTTTTTTTTTGTGTCTATGTGTTGAGCTTGGGGGCTATAATTATAATAGCCTTGGCAAAATACATGTCCCTTACCCACTATAGTAACTAGGTTGCGTAATATTATTATAAAAGTCATTTTTTAGTCAAAATTATCTTTTTTTTAAAGAATATATAGATATTATTTGGTCAAAATAATGCTTTTTGAGAATATATAAATAATATTTGGTCAAAAAATGTATCAATAATAATAATTTAATCTAATTAAATAATTAAATAAAAAAGATAATATCTTAGTGATTATTTTACTATATTAACCTTTATTTTATCATTTTTCAAAAATAAAATCGTCTCACATAAAATAAGAATTAATAACGAATACGTATTTCACAGTATTGTGCATTTTAAATCGTGTTTAATTATGTTATGAAGACTAATTAATTTTGTTAAACTTAATTTTAGTTAGTAAAAATATTATGATTGAGTGTGCGAAATTATTATTTATGTATAAAAAATATTATTTTTAACTTGTTCTAGAAATTTCACAAATATTTATAAATATAATTTTTTTTTAAATTCAATAGTTATCTATACAACTATATAAAATTAATATTATGTTTAGTGTATATTTTATACTTTTGATTTTATTTTTATTTAAATTATTACTATTATAATATTATCTTTTTAAAAATACTATATAAAATAAATTTGTATTTTTTCTTAGTCATCACAAATAATATTTTTTCATTTTTTAATACTTTTTACTTAAAACATTATTAATTATAAATTTAATCAACACAAATATCATATAATTATCATATAAAATATATATTATATAAAATATAGGATTAAATATGTTTTAAGTTCTTATAAAATATCTCAAATTTTATTTTTAGTCGTTATTTAAATATTAAAATTATTATATATTACCTTTTCAAAAAAACTATATAAAATAAATTTATACTTTTTTTTAGTCATCACAGATAATTTTTTTCATTTTTTAATACTTTTTACTTAAAACATTATTATAATTATAAATTTAGTCAACACAAATATTATATAAGTATCATATAAAATATATATTATATAAAATATAGAGTTAAATATGTTTTTTATCCTTATAAAACATTTTAAATTTTATTTTTAATTTCTATTTTAAATTTTTGAATAGTGTTTAGAATACGTGTTTAGAATATTATAAAAAAAATTTACTAAATTTTAGAATTTTTTTAAATGAGAAGAATTAAATATAATTTAAATTATAAAAGTAATGAAATTTTCGACTTATAAATTAAATTTTGAGTTTTTTTTAGAGAAATTTTTTATAACGTTTTAGACATGTCTGTAAAACAATCATTCAAAAATACATATCAATTTAAAAAGAGAGACTAAAACTACACATATAATAATTTTATAAAGATTTTATGTCATGTTTTTTATAGGAACAAAAATAAAATTTAATAATTTATAAAAAACAAAAATATATTTAAATCTAAAATATATTATACATAAATAATAATTATCATATAAAATATATATCATTATAAATTTTTAATTGATTTTTTAATTAAAACAAATATCTTTTACTTGCACCTGTAGAGTTTAATGTTTTAGTATTACAATGGGCGTGGAAAAATTCTTTTTAAATTTCATTTATTTTGTAAAAATATTTTATATTATTTGTGTTAAGTTTCAGTTCGAGTATAATTTCTTTTTTCCAAATTATTTTATTTTGGTAATCGAGATTGAATATTCCTAATATTCGTTACAATATATCTTGTTTACCAAAAAAAAAATCAACAAATTATTCATATCTCATTTTACTTCACACATTATCACTGAACTAATCAAATTTTAAAAAATAAATCATAAAAAATAATTTAATTAGCTTTAAAAAAAATTATCTCATTTTAACTTAAATTTTTAAAATAAGTCATTGAATTCAGTCAAATATATATTACTTTTTACTTATCTTTGTAAATTATATAATTATTTTAAAAAGGATATAACATTTTTAATTTATTTTTAAATGATATTTTTACTTTTATTTTAAATAGTTCTTTTTAAAAGGATGTATTTTTATACACTTTTAATTTATAGAGAAAAAAAAGTTATTGAAAAGTTATATTCTTTTTTTAAATAGAGATTTTGTTTTTAGTATTTATTGTATTCTAAAACAATTAGCTTTTTGAAACTCTTTTTTTTAATTATATACTTTTTAAAATAATATATCGATTTAGAAAACAAAATATTATTTTAAACTTACAGTTACATTTATGAGGCTTTTTAGGTCATTTTTCAATTAAAAGTTTTGGTAAATACTTATTTTAAGTGATTTTATTTATTTGAGTTATTGATTTTTAAAAAGAGGTATATCTACATATAAAATAATACCAAATTTTATTTTAGCTTTTTTATTTAATTTGACAATCGTTTTAAACTTTTTGTTTAAAATTTTATTTTATTTAATAAAATTTAGGATTAAATATGTTTTTGATCCTTATAAATATTTTAAATTTTATTTTTAATCCTTATTAAAAAATGATAAATTTTGGTCCTTAAAAAATTTGTGTTATCCAGTTTTAGTTTCTGTTATTTTCTAAAATTTTAAAAACTATTTAATTATTCTTAAATTTTTAAATTTTTAAATTTTAAATAGTATTTTTCATACATGTTTAGAATACTATAAAATGTTTCTTTATCAAATTTTAGAATTTTTTAAAATGAAAAGAATTAAATATGATTTTTTTAAATTTCAAAAGATATTGATAAAAATAATAAAAATCTCGACTTAGAAATCAAATTTTGAATTTCTTTTTTTTCAAAAAAAATTTTATAACGTTCTAAACATGTTTACAAAATAATCATTCAAAAATACATATTAGTTTAACAACATGACTAAAACTACGTGCATAATAATTTCGTAGAGACTAAAACATGTCATTATTTTAATAAGGACTAAAAATGAAATTTGGGATATTTATAGGGACCAAAAATATATTTAATCCTAAAATTTATTTTGACTATTGAATTAATATTTGAACTTTTTTTTCATAAAAATTAATGATTTATAAATATCAACAATATATTTATATTAATATATAAATATAAATAAATATTGTCATTAAGTATTAAATTTTAGATCAACTATTTCATTTATTTATTTTTTAAGTTTTTATTTTATATTTTATTTTAATTAATAAATTTAATTTTCTACTAAAAAGTGTTAGAAAAATGCTTGTAAAATGAAAGAATATAATAAAAGAATAGGACAAAATTTATATACAATTCTTTAGATGTGATTCTTATTATTTTTAAATAAAAATATAATAACTCTATAATTTTTTTTATACATATATAAATTATTTTTATTTTCACTCTTTAAATGATATTTAAAAATATTTATTATATTTTTATTAAAAAATAATAAAAACTATATTTAAAAGTAACCCATATAAGGCCCGTATACATTTGGGACCATTCTGAAACTTTTCAACTTATATTGAGGACCAATATTTCATCTTTTTTTCCATTCTTAGGTCACATACTTGTTGGAGCACAAGGAAGATAAAAGGCAAAAGGAATATTTACTTATAGCTTCAAAAATTAAGATTTACAATGAATTACAATAACCTACTCCACTAGGCTATTTATACACACAAATTAAATCTAAAATATATCTTCTACAAAGATACAAGAAGATTTAAGATATATATCTTCTAACAAAGATATAAACAATCTAAAAGATATTCCTAAATATAAACTAATATCTAATTAAATCTAAATTAATTCTAACACCATCCCTTAATTTATATTTACCCAAAACTGACAACACCAATTTCATCCCTTAATCCAAGAAATTGATTAGTTTTGATAGCCTTTGTAAGAACATTCTTGAACTCAACTATCTCTTGTTCCTTGAAAAACGAATCAATCTTCAAATTTCAAGCTATGTGCGCTTGCTTCAGTCCATACAATACTTTATGTAATTTGAACATCATCCCTTCCTGATTCTTTTTCTCAAATTCACGAGGTTGTGAAACGTACACCTCTTCTTGTAATGGACCTTCAGAACCTTGGACACCAAAATTTCCCCCCTTCAAAAGATCTTGCTTCAGAGTTTTGACTTTTCCAAAACCTTGACTATCTTCAGAGTCTTGAAAATTCCCAGAGTCTGAATCATCATCAGAGTCAAAGCCACTACCTTCAGAAATAGCATCTTCAAAAGTTGGATCACCTTTGCTTTCAGAAGTTCCACTTTCAGAATCATGATCATCGTCAAAGGCTGAATTTCCTTCAGAAGCTCCTCCTTCAGAAGGTCCAACCTTAGAGTCATGATTTCCACCAAAAACTTGATCATCTTTAGAAGCTTGTCCTCCAGAACCTACGTCTTTAGAGTTTTCCCTCCCATAAGCATGATCACCACCAAATTCTGGATCATCATTAAAATCTGAATCAAAATCAGATTCACCATCTGACTCACCTTCAGAGTTTCCAGAGTCATCATCTTCTGACTCTTCTTCAGAAGCAGAATCTTCTTCAAAATCAGAATCACCTTCGGATTCTGACTTGTCTTCAGCTTCAAAGTCATCTTCTAACTCTAACTCATCTTCAAAATCTTCAGCGTCATCTTCAAATTCTGACTCAGTCATATTCTGATTCTGACTCATACAAAATCACTCCTTCAAAATCAGAATATTCAGAGTCAGAGTCTTTACTAGCTTCAGAAACATGTATTTCTGACCTTTCTTCAGAAGTTCTGTCATCAGAGTCAGGACGAGATTTTTCCCAGTTCCAAACTTCTGATTCCTCTATAATGGTGTCTCTGTTGAACTCAACTTTGTTAGTTTTTGGACAATAAAGTTTGTACGAACATGTACTGTGATACCCCACCAGCAACATCACTTTACTTCTATCATCCAGCTTCTGTCTTTTGGCTTCTGGGACATGTTTGTAACATACAGAACCAAATACCTTTAGATGACTAACACTTTGCTTATCTCCAGTCCACTTCTGAATAGGAAATATTTCCTTTAATTTCTTTGTTGGACATCTGTTGAGCATGTAACATGCAGTTGCAACAACTTCTCCCCACTGAGTATGAGGAAGCTTCTTCTCTTTCAGTATGCTTCTCACCATATCTAGCAAAATACGATTTCTTCTTTCAGCAAGACCATTATGTTAAGGCGTATATGGAGAAGTAACCTCGTGCTCAATTCCATTCTCCTCACATAAACTTCTGAATTCTATGGAGTTATACTCACCACCATCATCAGTTCTAAGAATTTTCAGAGTCTGGCCACTCTGATTCTCAGCCTTCAGTCTGAACTTTTTGAATTCAGCAAACACCTCGTGTTTAAACTTTATGAGATATACCCATGTCATTCTGGTGAAATCATCAACAAATGACACAAAATATTTATTCCCTCCAGTCGATGCTACTGGAAACAGACCACACACATCAAAATGTACTACTCCCAAGGCATGTTTTGCTCTTGGAGCTACTTCTGATGTAAAAGGTAATATTGGTTACTTCCCTTCCATGCACACCTTGCATGACTTTTCAGGCTTCTTGATTGTATGAATTCCATGTACCAGGTTCTTTGATTTCAGATGCCCTAAACTTCTGAAATTCAGATGACCAAATCTTCTGTGCCACAACTCACTCTCCTTGACAACACTTGTTGCACTAAGACATTCAGAGTCTGCAGTTCTAACATTCACCTTGAATGTTCCGTTCCTTCCCTGTTCTGACTCCATAATCAGCTTCTGATTACAGTCATACAGCTTTAGAAGATTGTCCTTCATGGTAACTGAAAAACCTTTCTCAACCAGTTGTCCCACACTCATCAGATTGCTTTTCATGGCAGGTACATACCAACCATTCTGGATCACAACTGCTTTCCCATTGTTTAGAATGATTCTGACATTTCCCATACCTTCTGCATTGAGGTATTTGTCATCAGCACATCTAATCTTTGTACTCTTCCCAGAGTCAAAGTCAACCAACCACTTCTTGTTTCCAGTAAGATGGTTTGAACACCCTGTGTCTATATACTACCATTCTGATGAATTCAGATCATCAGGTTCAGAAGCCAACAATAGAACAAGTTCATCATCAGAGTCTCCTCTTGCTATATTTGCTTCTTCTGACTTCCTTTCTTTGTTGGACCAGCAATCTCTGGCATAGTGACCAAAGTTCTTACAACAATAACACTGAAAATTCTTCTTGTCAGACTTCTCCTTTCCCTTCTGGACATTCTTCTGCCTATCAGAGTTTGAAGCTTATGACTTTTGACCACCATTAGTTCTCTTACTGGCTTCTGACCAAGTCTGCTTCTGATGCTTCTTACCAGAAGTTACTTTCAGAGCCTGCTGCTCTACTTCCCTCTCAGAAGTTCTTGCAGTCATACGCAACTCATGCGCCTCTAAACTACTTTGCAGCTCTTCAACTCTCATGGTGCTCAGATCTTTGGAATGTTCAATTGCTACAATAATGTAATCAAACTGAGAAGTTAAAGATCTCAAGATCTTCTCAATAATTACTTGTTCAGACAGAGTTTCTCCACATGCTTTCATCTCATTAGTAATCAGAATCACTCTAGAGATGTATTCAGAAACCTTCTCTTTGTCCTTCATGTTGAGATTCTCATATTGCTTTCTGAGAGACTGAAGCTTCACATTCTTCACTGATGCGTCACCACCGTAACATCTGACCAGTGTGTTCCACGTAGCCTTTGCTGTTTCAGAATCAACAATCTTCTCAAACACATTCACATCCACACATTGATGGATGTAGAACAACGCTTTCTGATCTTTCTTCCTCAGCGCCTTTTGTGCTATCTTCTGGGCCTCTGTTGTGTCTGCTTCTAACAGATTATAGCCATCAGTAACAAGATCTAACACATCTTGAGAACCAAATAACACGTGCATCTGGATCTTCCAACGATTCCAGTTTTTGCCATCAAATACTGGAAGCTTGGAATGAATATCGTTGTTTCCGTTCATCTTCTACCTTGTGCAATTTACGCAGAAACTCAATGAAAAAACAATGTTTCCCAAATTCCAGAGTTTCTAACCAGGAGCTCTAGATACCAATTGTTGGAGCACAAGGAAGATAAAAGGCAAAAGGAATATTTACTGATAGCTTCAAAAATTAGGATTTACAATGAATTACAATAACCTACTCCACTAGGCTATTTATACACACAAATTAAATCTAAAATATATCTTCTACAAAGATATAAGAAGATCTAAGATATATATCTTCTAACAAAGATATAAACAATCTAAAAGATATTCCTAAATATAAACTAATATCTAATTAAATCTAAATTAATTCTAACAATACTTTGTGTTATCATACTTATATTCGTGTATTAATCGTATAATAATGAAAATAAATCTTAACCTAAATAAGTATAATAAATTAAACTTTAATATCTTTAAGTCTCGTATTTTAATTTTAGTGGTGTCTATTTTATTCACTTAACTTAAAAAAAAATTTATATTAATTTTTTATTTCTTCAAAACATATCAGGATAGTCTTTTCATTTAACTAATGACAAAAAATTCAAAAATCGATCATTAAATTTTTTGTTAATTAAATATAAAAATTTTAACATGTTATATTTTGAATAATTAAAAAGATCAATATAATTTTTTTTTTAAAATTAAATGATCAAATTAAATGATCATAAAAAATAATTTAATTAGCTTTAAAAAAATTATTTTTTTAAGGAAAAATCATCTCATTTTAATTTAAATTTTTAAAATAAGTTATTGAATTCAGTCAAATATATATTACTTTTTATTTATCTTTGTAAAATATATAATCATTTTAAAAAGGATATAACATTTTTAATTTATTTTTAAATGATATTTTTACTTTTATTTTAAATAGTTCTTTTTAAAAAGATGTATTTTTATACACTTTTAATTTATAGAGAAAAAAAAGTTATTGAAAAGTTATATTCTTTTTTTAAATAGAGATTTTGTTTTTAGTATTTATTGTATTCTAAAACAATTAGCTTTTTGAAACTCTTTTTTTTAATTATATACTTTTTAAAACAATATATCGATTTAGAAAACAAAATATTATTTTAAACTTACAGTTACATTTATGAGGCTTTTTAGGTCATTTTTCAATTAGAAGTTTTGGAAAATACTTATTTTAAGTGATTTTATTTATTTGAGTTATTGATTTTTAAAAAGAGGTATATCTACATATAAAATAATATCAAATTTTATTTTAGTTTTTTTATTTAATTTGACAATCTTTTTAAACTTTTTATTTAAAGTTTCATTTTTTTAATAAAATTTAGGATTAAATATGCTTTTGATTCTTATAAATATCTTAAATTTCATTTTTAATTCTTATTAAAAAAATAATAAATTTTGGTCCTTAAAAAAATTTTGTTATCCAGTTTTAATCCCTGTTATTTTCTAAAATTTTAAAAACTATTTAATTACTTTTAAATTTTTAAATTTTTAAATAATATTTTTCATACATGTTTAGAATACTATAAAATGTTTCTTTATCAAATTTTAGAATTTTTTTAAATGAAAAGAATTAAATATGATTTTTTTAAATTTCAAAAGATATTGATAAAAATAATAAAAATATCGACTTAGAAATCAAATTTTGAATTTCTTTTTTTTTCAAATTTTTTTTTATAACATTCTAAACATGTTTACAAAATAATCATTCAAAAATACATATTAATTTAACAACCGTGACTAAAACTACGTGTATAATAATTTCGTAGAGACTAAAACAAGTCATTATTTTAATAAGGACTAAAAATAAAATTTGAGATATTTATAGGGACCAAAAATATATTTAATCCTAAAATTTATTTTGACTATTGAATTAATATTTGAATTTTTTTTCATAAAAATTAATGATTTATAAATATCAACAATTTATTTATATTAATATATAAATGTAAATAAATATTGTCATTAAGTACTAAATTTTAGATCAACTATTTCATTTATTTATTTTTTAAGTTTTTATTTTTTTATTTTATTTTAATTAATAAATTTAATTTTCTACTAAAAAGTGTTAGAAAAAATGCTTGTAAAATGAAAGAATATAATAAAAGAATAGGACAAAATTTATATACAATTCTTTAGATGTGATTCTTATTATGTTTCAATAAAAATATAATAAATTTATAATTTTTTTTATACATATATAAATTATTTTTATTTTCACTCTTTAAATGATATTTAAAAATATTTATTATATTTTTATTAAAAAATAATAAAAACTATATTTAAAAGTAACCCATATAAGGCCCGTATAGATTTGGGACCATTCTGAAACTTTTCAACTCATATTGTGGACCAATATTTCATCTTTTTTTTCCATTCCTAGGCCACATACTTTGTGTTATCATACTTATATTCGTGTATTAATCGTATAATAATGAAAATAAATCTTGACCTAAATAAGTATAATAAATTAAACTTTAATATCTTTAAGTCTCGTATTTTAATTTTGGTGGTGTCTATTTTATTCACTTAACTTGAAAAATTTTATATTAATTTTTTATTTCTTCAAAACATATCAGGGTAGTCTTTTCATTTAACTAATGACAAAAAATTCAAAAATTGATCATTAAATTTTTTGTTAATTAAATATAAA